GGTCGGACGAATATCATAGTAACCACCAAACGTCAGTTGGCTCCATGATTAAAGTACTGCATTCACCTTGTTCGTATACGCGTGAGCTGACCTTCGGGAAAGCTAAAGTCCAATGTGAGAGCTGCCTGTCTACCCCCTGGTCCCTAAACCTCATACTTCAAGAGACAGTTGTTTGCGGTTGATTTATTGGGCATTTTTTATCAGGAAAGATGGGGAATGGAATGCAGGTGAGGCGAGTAGGTGATATTAATTGGAGAGAGACTCCTCGCTGGCTTCATGCACGTGGTTCGCTTTCACAATTGGTTCTCGCCTCTCTTTTAAGCACCGTTCTCGTTGCTGACCAATGGGCTTCCATTGGACGGATGCTCTTTTCTGATACCATATAGACTTCGTCTTCGTAACCTACTGGGGGCGGACCGCATATGGCCTAATCTTGTTACGATGTAGTGTTTGAGGCCGAGTAGCGATCTCTGCATTCCGAATGAGATAATTTGTGGGCGACAGGACTTTGATTATCTGATAGGGTTCCTTGCTCCAGGGGTGATAGAATTTCCGATGGGTTCCCGGCGGATAAGTGGTCTATATAATTCACCAAATCGCCCTCTTTGAAGATGCTTTTTCGACTCTGTCTATCGTAGGACCTCTTTTGCCTAGCTTATCCCATCGCTGCCGCCAGTGTAGCATCCTGAGTCTTCTCATAGGGTAGTAGAAGGCATAAGTGAGGATGAATACATATATTCGGAAGACGACAGGGCAAAGTGGGCCTAAGCACGGCCCGAAGGCCAGCCCACGTGTACAGAGGCCAGATAATTTCTAAGGTGACCGCCAAACGTCAGATAGTCACATAAACAAAGTATTACATCCAAAACCTTCGTCTATATAGTGAGAAGTATCAGAGTGCTACACTTAAAATGCTCTATATCGCGTAGGAATTTTGCTATGCAAGCATTAAAATAATCCTCGCTGTGTGGGTAAAGGTAATGGTGCCTGAACATTAAGGGAAAATCTAATTGGTTTGCTGTTTACTGCCTCGTGTTTTATGAAGCGATTGATCTGCATATTCGTAAAACGAGCGACTTGGTAAAGTATATCCATTTGCGTAAACACATCCTCAACTCCTGTGCTAAAAATTAGTTGTGCCTCTTTTTAGGTGTACTTATGCATTGTAATAAGTTTTCTTGCACATTAATAAAAATGTTAATCATATCAGATGATGCCCTATGGACCATCTTATCATTGGTTAATGGTCGCGATCAGTAGTATTCGCACCACTCGGTTCGTTCAATTGTATCGTAGGTCGTGTTGCAAACCATTTTCGAAATAGACTTATGTCTAGCCGTATTAATTACCTATAGGCACAGCACTTTCATTTATTTCAGTTGGTTGGGTAATCTAGTTGCTTCAAGCGCTTATTCTTCATTCACTCTGACTTAATGTCTTTGCTGTCGTTCTAATTGAAGGGATGCTACCTAAGTCTTAAAATACTCCAGTCTTATAACTTTGGCACCACCGTTTCCTTATGTTGGTTGGCTTGTCTCATTCAAATGCTTTTGATGGTGGTGATGCTTCAGGTCCCCTTCACCGGCAATAAGCTCCAACCTTGATATTCATGAGTCCAAGCCGTCATGTCTCAGAATGACGTAACCAACACCACTGCAAATTCAAGAATCCGTCATATCACCCCACCCAAAGAGGAACTGCAATCAATACCATCGGCTTTCTATAACTGTGATATCTGCGGTCTGCGAGTCAAAACGCAATCCAATCTCCGTGCCCACTTTATCAAAACTCATGGCCTTATAAATGTTGGTCTTTCTATATTTTTCCAATGGAACTTTATGCTTCTTTAGGATGCCAAAGACATTGCCTTTTTGCTGCGGAAGAAAACAGACATATATGACGTCTTCCATTGTCCCGCTCCCGCCTGTAAATATACCAAGTCGTCGGGCGTTGGATTTTCAAAGTTCTGGCATTTGAAACAGGTAAGCATGGCTCTCAACGTCCTCTCCCATGGGGTGAAATGGTCAATCTTAATCCTATTTCCCTTTAGCATTACCAGCTGGTTCACATGAAGAAAACCTTCCAATGTCCTACCTGCAGTCAACGATTTTCCACACCCAGTGCGCAAGCCTATCATGTGAAGTCCTGCGGGACGCATTTCGAGTGTCCAGTTTGTGGGCGGAAATACAAAGCCAAGAAATTTCTCAACCAGCATGCGCGCCGCTCTGGACATGATGTTAGAATGAGGTTTGTTATTGCACTAGTTTGAGGATGGCTGCTAAGCGAATACAGATTATGAACGTCAATTGTCACAATGGCGGAATAGCTTAACTCCATAACAGAAACGTTTATTTTTTAGTTGCGAATTTACTTTAAGCTCCCCATGTTAAAGGAGTCGCATTGCAAAGGGCTTCGTTCGTGAAGAGGAAATGATTCACAAATTGATTACCATAAAACTTGAATTTTCCGACAGGAGGTGTTTTTGACACGTTGAATTTGAGCTTTTCTCACTTATTGTCGCACGAAAACTTCATTTGCCATCCCTAGTTTAAATGCAGGATCGATTGAAGTACATGTGATGGAAGGAAAATTTTCAAGTTACTCAGAGCCTCTAGCTCCTGTTTGCCTATCAGTTTGAAGTGGTTCAGTTGGTTTTAACATTTGACAGAACTAGTTGGGGTAATGAAATTGTTCCGGTTGATCGAATGATCGTTTCCTTCGTGCTCTACAGACAACACTACAGAACAGGATATTTCATCGTTACGTTTTGGTCAAATTTTGTTTTACACTTTTTTTGTATTTTTTCCCTTACATTTTATTTTGCTTTTATATTTTGATCAGGAGTAGTTCAAGTTTTCAACAAAATAGGACAGGCTTTTGGAGCGGGATCTTGATCTTTTACTATGTTTGGCTCCCACAAGATGTGCAGTCGTTAGCCTTTACCAATTCATTTATATTGTCACATTTTTGGTATTTTTGTCCTTAGATTGTGTTTGAATTTTGCATGTAATAGATGGTGTGTCCACCTTGTACCTAGTGAGCACATCTGAATATGGTATATAAGGTGCACATCTCCTAAGGTACTCCACTGGGTTTCTAAGGGTTTGACGCTACTTTCAGTGAATTTTTTCACTTACATAGTGACAAAAGAGCTAGCTTTTAAAAGTTTTCGAAGTGGCGTTTTTCCCACAGTGGTTGTACATAATTTCTTATTAACTATTTTTGCTGTATCGTCACGCGTAAGCATCTCACGTTGTTTTTAAACTTTACACGTCTAGAACATGGAGCCATCACATTCAGTTGTTCTTGATGACGATCAGACGGGATATTACTTGGAGTCATGACAAATTTAACCGAGCAAAATCAAGGTATTACCTAAATTCGCACGATTACAAATCCGTAACTGCGTAAAGGCCTTAACTGAAACATGGGGAGCATCGGTTGCAGATAATTCCATTCGGTTCCACTGTATCAATCTTAAAAGCATTTTAAATGTTTTTACTAATTAGATTATAAGGGGCTATGGATTTTGTCTACTTTGTTTATAACTGCGTTCATCTGGACTTGGTCTTGCCTGCTAAAAGATGTGAAGATTGTTTGAGTTCACTTAGTAGTTGAATAATCATCTTTTCTTTAAGAAGCCAGATGCTCAAGTCTATGGTGGCCGTTTAGTAGTCTATCACCAACAGCGTCCATTTCCACAGTTTTTAAGCCTAGAAACGGTCTTCAAAAGTCAACTTAGCAAATTGACTACCTTGATGGGAAACGTGTGCTTCTATCAGGCCGGTCAAATTTTGAATTTCTGGTTATTTGAATACCCGAATGTCAATGTCCTTCATCGACGCAAACTGTCGGTTAGATCATGAAGGCAGTTTTTCGTTGAGTAAGGTATGCGCATTTTTATTGAGAATCGCACTAACCTCATAGGTTCCTGACCGTTACCCTTAACTGCACATAAACGCTTAAAGACATAGTAGTCGCTTTCTTGTTGCAGTTAACGTGAAAGTGCCGTCAATAATTTAAGAAAAAAAATCGGTTTTTGATTGACTTGATTTCTTGCCAATGAATATACTTTTCCTATCTGGTTTGAATTATTCTCAATTGCTTGTTCACCGAAAACTCGTTTTCTATTGACATATCACACAGAGGAAACACCTATATCTCTTTGGCAATTGCAAGCTTTTGTTACAGCTACTGCATATGCATGCCCAAGCTACTGCCTAATGGTCTAATGTTGATGAAATCTCTGTATTCGTTTTATGTAGCTCCCTGAGTCTCTCTGTGGTCGTAATAAGACATATCGACAATATATGTGATGCTAGAATGGCTGGACGACCATAGGCGGGGCTGGGAACTCATGTCACTGAGACACCTATTTTGAGATGAGACTTATGCGTACTTGGAGGATGTTCCTTTAAACAGCTCATGGGACGGAATGACGTTTTCTTGTCACAGTGGTCTACATTGACCCTTGCGAACTAAATGCGTTTGCTAAACTTGCATACTGTCCTGTTCTTCTGATTTTACACCAACCAACTTACTGCGTGAAGTTGCAATCATGTAGCCATTGAGCGTCATAGCTTATTACCTCATGACTTGAGTGATGGACAAGGAGGGTTACTTTTAAAGTAACCCACCAACGTCGGCTCTATCACCTTATTTTTGGCCGTTATACGAACAAATAAATAGTTGTTGATTTACGTATAGTTTTCAGCTGTCCTTTGGAGGTTATCCAGGTAACCATATTTCTTTCGATCTTGAAGAATACGCTTCAACGTAAATGCCTTTACCGTATTTTTAAGTCCGACAAAAGCATCTACTCTTTGAAAAGATTCTATAGAAGGATTAGCTAAAATCATGGTGGTGCTGGGAATCACTAGCTCAACACTGACGCTATCCGTTTTGAAGTGCGGTATTGACGCCACGAGTTTCATATCTGACAAACTTTGATCGTATCAGTCGAATGCGCTTAATTGTGAGATGCATTTTAGAATTAAAAAAAACTGGATTTTTTTGTTAGGCAAAGCGGAGAAAACTTTGGGCTTTAATTCCCTCATGCGACCTTTCTCTTCGTGCTGTATCAATATTGCTGTTTCTGGAACTATGACGCTTGTGATACTAGGAGCAACGTGACTAGTACAGTTTCACTCTCGCTTCTCACTGAACTTATAAGGAAAGATATCTTAGGGCATCATCATCCATACCATGTCTGACGGTCTAATTAAGCTTTCTGACCTCTTTCCCAGAACGCCAGCATTGCGAACCACTTCAGTGGCGAAGCAGCAATCATCAATAAACTTGCCGATGGAATCTGCTACCGCTGCTTCAGAAAGTGACCAGCGTGAGGCACAGACATCAACCAAACTGGCCATTCTTCCGCTGCTCATTCTTCCTTTAGGCGTAGGTGTCGACCAGGCCTCTGTCTCGGCTGCTACCGCCTCTGCCGCCTCTCTTGTGGGCGAGGTGATCGCTCAACTGCGAAGCAATCTCACTGTTCTTCCACCTGTTGTCTCTACTTCCTCTTCCGCCCCTCCGGCCACTGGTTGGCTTGGGCCAGCGATACAACCCAACAGTCCGGAGGTGGGGTTTCTCATTTAGAAAACTCTGATAACAATGTCACAACTTTGTCGATCTAATTGGAAAAGCGTTTGAATATCTTTGAATCGCTTTTAGGAAGTTATTTCGAGATGAAAAAAAATTGTTTGGATGGTACAAACACCAACTCTTCTACGTGGTTCAAAAGAAGGCTGGCATTTTAACAGTTTAGAGATGTACTCAAAACCCTCAGTTAATTGTCACCTATCTATGCGCCAGACATTGCAACTTTAGAGCTTTAATAGACACTTCCACTACTTATAACAAGATACGATACTGTTCCCTGTCCTATTGTAATCGTGTACTCAATGATGCAGTTCATCTGCTCATTCTTACGTCGAATACCTGGAGAGGCTAAATGTCTAATAAAAGCTGTCTTTTGCTTCTAGTCTCGACGTCCTCCCTCTTTCAATTTTCCTAACAGCACTGATGCCAGGGAGAATGGTGGAGGTGAAGGTGGTCCGACCTTCTTGCCTCTAGTGGATGTTGGGACAGCAACCCTTCGCTTGTCACATGCTCACACTCAGACAGAGGTCAATGTACCTCCCCATTGTTCGGTGCCTGCATCAACAGTAGCAGTAACTGAGCAGCAGACCGACTTGGTGGTATTTTACAACAGCCAGGTGACTCGTGACTCCTACACCGCCACCTCATCACCCGACTGCCGTCTTGTAACGACGCAAATGTCAGTTGGAAACTCCCCGCCCCCGCCCACCTGTAAGTCTGCATTCTCAATTTTAGAATTTCTCTTCAGCAATTTTTAGTTGTATTTTTACCATTCGTTTTGTCATTTCTCTTTAGTTCCGCTAGCAAACAGCTTTTTAACTCATACTCCATCCTTTCAATTTTTTCTGATTTGCGAAGGAGGTATAGCAAGAGGCTCTCGTGCGACAGTCCTCGATTTCTCACTACAATTTCTTATCCCTTATTCATTTCAATGGATTACCCTCTGCTTAGTTGTGTAATCTGCTCTTACGTATTGTTATGGTCGAAACCGTCTGCAGTCGTTTGACTTTAGTCTGTGTTTTATTGACGAGGCATTTTTTGAAGTGTTTGAGACCCCTAAAATAGTAATTACGTTGAAGGAAAGATTGAGGTACGGGCGAAGCTAGCATTACTTACGTCGCCGAGATTAATCGCAAAGACTTCAAGTAATTTCAATATCCTACTAAGGTTATTCGGTGCATTCTATGGACCTTTATCCTTGTCCCAGATCTCGGGGTTTATTTCACCAATATCTGTACTGGGTTGTACAGCTGGTCCCGTGATATGATTTCTCCGCGATCACTGAGGTGATGGGAGAACTGTGAAGATATGAAAGTCACACGCCGTTGTGTGAATTCTATCCTTGAGCAATAGGGTCACTCACGGGGTCATGTTCCCAACATTTTAACTGTCATTTTGGGCCAGATTTCTTATGATACCTTGCTCCTTGTGTCTGTGTAAACGGAAATTTGCTTTATAAGTGGCTAAGTAGGTGTGGGAGAAGTAACCACTGCTTGATTCACGTCGCGTCCCTCTGTTGACCTGTAGCTTGCCTTAATAGGGGCACACAAGTGAGTTTTCCACTTAATCAAGCAGCGGAAACTTCTTTGTACCATTCATTCTACCTTAGCTTCATTTTGTTCTGGAGCTGTAAATTCTGCTTTCAATTCGCCAAGTTGCATCAGAATGCTGTTGTTGTTGTTGCTGTTTTCTGCAAGCCGGCTAGGCTTTACCGAGTGAATGCTTCTCCTCCTGATTTGAGTGTTTTGAGTCTTTAAAGCACTACGCCGAAGTCTCCAGCTTTGAATGCTTGAATTCCTCCAAGTTCATAGTTCAAAGTTATTTCTTGATGAACGATCGTCGGAATGTTAGCTTCTTGCAGCTTCAGCTTTCTTCTCTTTAAGTTTTGCATTTCTTCAAAGAACTGGTTTAGTTTTAATCTGTCAAAACCTCTAAGCATGTTTTGGCTATTAGTGTTTCTTAGTTAGTTTATTGCACACCACACCTACATAATGCTGATGTGGCAGAGCATTGGATTTTGACCCCTTTCCGTAATTCTAGTCTGAGGGCTAGTTGTTCAGTTCTAAATAACAAACTGGTCCCCTTATTTCATCTAAAGATTTAAATGTCTGGAGGCTTCAGATTTTCTTAACTACCACTACTTTTCCTATTTGAACCGCCAAGGTTCCCTAAATTATCACCTGACTTCTGACCAGCTTAGACTGTATCGCGTTTGTGGCAAAAATACATAAATTCGATTTTGGTTAGTGCCTAAAAGTTACTGACAACGTAATTCTATCGGATTTCCTAATGGTTGTTCGTGCCAAAACAGCTAAACATATAATAATTTATATTTCCAACATGTGCATTGAAATTACCTTTTTCTCATTTAGTCTTGCCTGACATATCTCACAGCAGCACCTACATGTCACCGGGCCATTCCATCGAACTCCAATACCCTGAAATGAATTCTAATGGCACCATGACCACCTATCACTCGCAACAGCTGCCACAATCACAGGGGCAACATCACGCTTTCCAGCAGACCACTGCTATCCCAACCACCACTGTGTCGTCTTGTACAGGAGCACCTCTCTACCTCCCTTCTGGACCCTCTGAGAGCGGGTGCTATGACGCCTTTGCAGCTCATGGTAAGTTTTACTGTTGTCTAGTTTCCTCCTCTTCATCTCCTTATCCCCTTCGATTCCAAAGCATTGAGCACAATCGGTAGGTGTTCTTTCTTGCTTGCCTAGTCTTTTGTGATAGTAGATCGTAGGTGCAACGTTACCAGGTTCGTCTTCAATTGCGCATGTTATGTAGATAACAACGAACATCCCTCTATTTACCAAATTAATTTCACTTCGCTCTCATCAATTTACACAATTTGTTTGTGTACATCACTCAGGCGTTCTGCGCGTTCTCCCTTACTTCCTTGATTGTCTTCAGTCCAGCGCGTGCCGAAGCCGCATTTGAAGATGCTCTTAGCCGTAGGTTTGTCTTCAATATGAAGTTAGGACCTCTTTAGATCTACCACTATTGTTCGTGACATGATTTTGATCGAAATGACTTCCTGTCTTGCTTCGGAAGGCCGCATTATGGTCAGCGTAAATCCTTTTAAAACCTTCCATTCCTGTTAGCCATCCAACTCCAAAAATCTTATCCGCTTTTGAGAGCATGTGATACGTGTGCTGTTGTTACTAGTCCGATTTCACATGTTTAATGTTTTCTCGCATGACCAGAAGGTGAGTCTTTTGCCTTCTTTTGAGAAGCCTCCACTTCAGCTCCTCCAAATTCACTTAACTCGTACTTATGCGATTATTAGCATATTATGCGTTTCTCTCAGTCTGTCTTGCCTTGAGTCGTATGGGGCTATAGGGCCATTCAAAATATAGTAAGGATATCACTATGTAAAACAGCAACTTATGCACAACCTGTGCGGAGAAATTACCTTAACTCGCTGGGTTTCCATGCCATACTGTGTGTTGCTGGTTTTTCTACCTCTCTGTTACGCTGCTCTGGATTCTTGACCGCACTTTGCGCCCCTAGTGGAACAGCTTTCGCTATTATTTTCATGACCCTCTAGCTTAATTACTAATCTGATTTATTTACTGCGGCCTTTCACCCTTTGTGCATCGAAATTGTGAAATAACAATCTTAACATTGGTTATCGTTCTTTACTTCTTCTTTGGCTGAGAAACTTTGATAACTTGTACAGATACCTATCTCTCTGTCTATCAGCATTGGCTCCTTTCATGTTTCCAATGTGTTTGACATTGCACAGATGGCATTATGGCTTTTAATTGTATGCTTCTCACCAACCTCTTTGTGGCACCAATACGTCTGATATCATGACTGTGCAGCAGCATGAACTGCGACAAACATGGCAATTTTTTTTCGCATTGAACGCGATTATCTATCTCGCTCTTGTAATGTTTGCCACGATGGCTCTCCTTCATAACATCATCCTTGGTTGAGATGGGCGGAATAGGTCAAGTCTGTATCGTCTACCAAGTAAAACATTACTAGTAGTAGTAGTCTATTTAGCTTCTTTCACAATACAGTTCCCCTTTAAAATGTTTTCTGCTGACCTTTGGCTCAATTCTAGTAGCTTCATCTCGAAAATTGTTCAAACAGTAGTTATTGTTAACCTTATCACTGAATGCCCCTTTAATAAAAGTTATGAAGGAATGTTAAGGGAGTAAACTACTATAGCCCCTGGTTGAGCTATGTGAACCTAATCTTCATGCCACCCCACAAAAGTGGATGCGTGCAAGGTATACCACACAACATCGTGACTGCATGCAAATTGAGTTAGTCATCAACACTTAGCCGTGGCCAGCGGGTAGGTTTAACCCACCTCCTCGTCGTTGAAGCATGCACTACCACTGCTTGTTGTGACCCGACACGCGCATGCGCTTGTGTGTGCAAACTCTTAATGGGGTGCCTTCAAATCTGAAGCTATTATTTGCCCTCATGCAAGGCGTTTGATAATCGCCTTCTCTTCTGTTGACAGTTTTTCCTTGGACATAATGTAAGATAACATGCATTTTGTTTCACTTAGACTCGTCTTTGTGTGAATCGTTCAATGAGGCTGTTCACACCCATTCATAGCAGTAAGTGCCCATTGTGAATTTGCTTGAGAAGCGCCAGCCTAGGTGCACATCAATCACAACACCGACATTCTCTTAGCATTTTTTGGGCGCATTGAAATAACGTTAGAATAACAGTAGTCAGTAGTCCAACAGACTTCGTCATCCCACTTCTCCGTTCCAATAGGTCAGTAGCTCCGGTTTCGATTAACGCACTTCTTGCTTTCACTACTCCTCCTCTCAGCTTGGATCCCGAAATAGCCTAAAGTCAACCGAAATAGTGGTTTTTTGTGTGCTAAATTATTCGGCCGTCTAATTTGGGTTGCTCGCAAAAAGTTATTTGACTGCCACAAATAGTTGAAGCAAACACCAATCACACCGTTGTGTCTTACTCTCCCTTTCCTCTTGTGGTAGACGGCATGTAAGAGTGCAAAGTGAGTACAAAATGTCAGGTAGCGCTTGGATCTTGTTTGCGTCCAAGGGGACTGTCTGCTCCTCAGAATCGTATTTCACTGAGTTCTAGACCTCCATTTGAATAATTGATGCTTGTTATTATTAACCTCGTGCTGCCACATTATTTCCACACCAAAAGTAATAACAATTTCGATATTTGGCCTGAATAACCGTCCTCTCTGCATATCTTGTGACTTATCGTCTTGTATCTCTTGGTTTTATGATATTCGAAATTCCCAAATGAAGTTTATTTAGTATCACATTAACACTGTTGAAAGTTAAATGCCAATGCGGTTTTACGCTGCTCACAGGTATTCACTCGATCTTCTATTGCCTTCTGCTTTACGATCTTGTTGTTATGTTTAGACATTTTGGGCTTTACATTGCACGTTTACAAGCTGTTACATGGAATCGACGAGGCCTTGCAAAAGATGCATGCTATTTGTGGACTATTTTAGACATCGACCTGCAGAGCTCTTGGAATTATGATTGAATCAGGTAATTTGCTCGTCTTTTCTCAGTATGGAACATGAACATTGACGTTTGGCTCGAAATGCCTGTAAAACACGCCATTGATAACACTACCTATTTTCTTTACTGGGTCCGCAGTCGGTGATGCGAATTTCTGAGTAAATGCTGCACCTTTTACCTTCCTTTCCAGCGTGCATGTGACTCCTCTAATCTTGCATTATCCATCCATTTGGTCTTCAAAATGAGGGCGATCTTGCCCTTTTGCTCTCAAATCCACATACAGGCCTAATAACACAAAAAATGAGCCAGCATTTTCTCGACATTCTTTTGTGAAAAAGAACCCAATTTATTGTGACTGGCTGTGCACTTGATTGGTCGAGGCATGTTTAGCCACCATTGTTCCATCAACATTTTCTTACCGTAACTAAGGCTTCGGCAACAGTCTTGCTTTGAAATAGACCAAATGCCTAGGCGACTGTGAACGAGGATATCAAACCTATTATTAATCCAAACGCTCTCTTCAGGTTTAACGCTGTACGACAGTCACGATTCTTGTAATTCCAATGCGGTATTGTACCGATCTTTTCAACTCCTCCTCCTGGATTTGTCTCCTGCATGTAATCCTGGTGGCAAATATGCTGAGAGGTGAGGCATTTCGTACGGCACCTTCATTCTCCTCCCTTCCTCTCTACTTCCATAGGCTCAAGTACCTCGCCTTACAGCAGTGACTGGCGCAGCCTGCACCGACCAGATGGGCAATCGGCCAACTCAGTGGCCGTAGAGACCACCTTCGATTTGACCAACTTCGATGCGAGTAATTCAGGCAACTGCTACTGGCCACCGGCGGAGAGCTTCGCACATATGCAAACGCAGACGGTATGCGATGCAGGCGACTTGGAGCAGTGGTTCAACAACGTTCAGACACAGACATCCACCACCGCCATCTCCACGCAACAACAGCAGCAGCAGCAGCAATCCTCCTGGACGTCGCTATTTGCCAACGATGGAGTTTGTGTGGGAGTGAACACGGAGATGCTGATGACTCCGGAGCATGGCGGCAGTCAATAGATTTCCAGTCTTTCTTTAGCAGCTCTTTTTATTGGTTACGTACTCACCTCTGCACAACACACATGTATGCACGAAATTACGCACGGCTGTGATTGGAAGTGTTAGAAGCAAGTTTACTTATTGAGTTTTTTGTAGAATCGAGCAGCGTACACGCTACAGTGTGGCTGCGTTTGTTTTCTTGACCCGGAGCAGTGTCTTTCCAACTACCGTGAAAATCGCAAGGTTGGTGGGTTTCTGGGTCTCTGTGGTGAGCAAGCGCGTGCCAAAGTAGGAACGTTCACAACAGTGGTTTGATTGTGAGTACGTTTGCTAATTGCCTTTGCATCATTCCAAGCACAAATTGGGCACTACGGTGTGGGCGACTCGAACCATTTCACCCGTTAAGCGGAGTGGTAGTGCCTCCAGCAAACATGCTGTGCAATATCGGTACATTATTAAGTGCGTTAATCATGAGCTGCTGATTCCTACGCTATTTCACGGTCGGGGGAAGTTACGTAGCTTGGGCCTATTCCAGGTCGAGTTAAGCATAATTTATTTTTATCACAATGCCAATCGGACTAAAAATTTTTGTCACGTTGGATTCGTACACCATGAGAAGCTTATCTTGGTTAAGGAAATTTTGAAAATCAGAGGCGTTCAAACAACTCTGGAAGTGCTCAATTTTGGTGCATGCCTTAGATAAGTGCCATGTAGAGGACATTTCAAGACATCGGTTTGCGCGTTTAGCAGTTGCTCCAATTTTTATTTGTAAACGGTTTGGCTGCATTCTGACAAACATATGACTGGTAACAGATGGGTAGTGCTCAGTGAAATAACAAGTTGTGTTGTTTGGATAACGTTTCGGCCCAAAATTGGGAGTCATTTATGTGATGCCTGTTTTCACTGGCGTAAATTTTTTATTCTGAATACATGTACTCAACTCATGTGGTATGTTTCCTCCTATTTAAGCAGCGCAGAAACCGGTTGTGATACCTGGTCTGACTGTCGATATCGGCAATGGGTACTATGGTGGTTGCGGTGACACTTGGACTGCACCAACAGTACAAGTTCTTGCCTGAAGCTGCTTTTGCCAAGTATAATGTCTTCCATTGTCCTAAGGGAAGTCTCAAGACACCGTAAAAAGTTTCTGATAATCAGGATTATTATTTAATTTGGTTTGCACAGGGGGAAGGTACTGAATCAACTCCGAACCGTCTCCCTTGAAATCAACGTCAGCCATCAAGATCATACAATAAAAAAGAACATAATATTTTGTAAATTCGAATAATCGTACGACTGGCAGTCACCTTGGTATGCAACTTACGCTTGATTGCGTGGGCCGGCCTTCGAACTAAACCAAAACCTAGTCTGTAGCACCCTGAGGCTTTTCACCAGGTAGATGGAAGCATTATATTGGCCGAATGCATGCATTCAAATAGGAGAAGCCGAAAACTGATACCAAAGTAACCTTCAAACACCAGGTAGTCGCACTTCAAGTTTCCCATGAACGCAAATATTCAATCCTACTTATTGCCTTCTACCTAATGGAAAGTTTCCGGATTTGACGCTAATTGCCACGAAGGGCAAATTCGGTTTCGTTACGACGTACGTCCAGCTTTCCACTGTTTTTGGCAAACTTCTGCGATGTCAAGGAAGAGCACATGGTGTGGAAGAAACTGCTAAGAAAGGCGTCTAGTTTTACCAATTACCACTTTTCCGTCTTTAATTGGCAATATACTAATTGGAGCAATACCTCTGTGAACCGCCTCGAAAAGTTTGTTTCAGATGTCGTTGACATTATGCTGGGCTCTCATCCAGTAGAAATGCGTTTGAATCGGCTTTTCCTTTTCATGAAACTGTCTCCGACCCGTGTTTCATTGCTTGGCCCTAGACACAATTGGAGTGCACCAGAAGGCTCTCTTATTCCGGCCTTAAGCCCAATCGTGGCTGCGGATCCACTTGAAGTTACTGCGAAAACCGAGTACATTCCTTTAGTCTAGTGTTGATTGATAATTGGTTGCAGCATGATGGACACCGCGGTAGGTGCTACGAAGAGAGAGCACTAGCTTACTACTAGTGTACTACTGGTGGTCAGTTTGACATTCATCTTAGTCTTGTGTGCGTCGGCTGGCCTTCGAATCAAACCTAACACCAAAACTTTACTTCCTGAAAATTAGTGTTCGACCCTAAGTAATGCCTTCCTCCATCTAATAAAGGGTCTACGGGCGTTACAAAGGGTATCATGAAACTTAAAATGGCTTTAGGACAAGAATCACAGTTAAACAATTTTGTGGTAGAGAAATGAAGTTCGGCGCCGCTTTCTGAGTTTAACTCCTAGAGGAATTATTTGGTTGCTTAATGTAAACTAATGCCCCCGGTGGTCCGACTGAATTACAGATTTTGTGACATCAAAATTACACAGTATAGACATGCTGGAACTAAAAATGTTAAAATGTTAAAGGATTTGTGAGTTCAAGGATGACAGTTCATGACTGGAAAATTTAGTACATACATGGTGGCATATCTTACAGTGCTTTTTCAAGGCAGAATTTGCAGTGTTAAGCTAAAGTATATGTGCATTAGGAACTTTTATGGGTGTTCTTTAATAGACATTGTTCCTTTCAATTGTAAGCAAGGTACATATATGATTGGTTATTCATTACATGCCCAGTTTAGCCTAGATGGCATAGAGGGTGTGAGCATTGTTGCGAAATGAGTGACTCCTTTTTGCTCTTCTTTGACACCTTTAGCATTGACGAGCAATGCAAAGTAAGCCATTTTTATTCTTACTTCGAGAATCAACTGAATTACATTCGGTTTTCTAATTTCGTTACTATATCTGAAATCCGGATAGTACCTTTTGGTTCTGTTGTCGAGAGCAATCTTTCAGATGAAGCTGTTATCGGGTAGGTCTTACGCAAGCCATTGCTATTTGTGTAGGACGACTAATCCGGCTTTGTTCAATGTAAAATTTTACTGTTACAATGATAACCTTGCGTCAACTCTTTTCCAGATATCTGAGTACGTGATTACGAACTCTCCCAACTGTTTAGGTACGAGTATGATGAGTCCAATGGAATATGCTGTGTTCCGCTAGCACAGCCTGTAACTACAAATATTCTTCTTTTACGTGGGAACTATTCTACTATAACTGTGGCTGTTTTCGGAATGCCCTGCCTTCTACCTCCCCAGCAATCAGGAATAGCCATGCCAAATTTTTCAGTTCCTCCCCCCCCTCTAGTCTCTGGCGGTCCTGCATTTCCTGTCTTATCGGTTCTAGGCTCTGTGGGAAATATTCAGGCAGCTTCGCCACAAATAACGCAGGTTCAGAGCTCTCAAAATTGGTCCACCCATACCGGTGCATTGCCAGCTTCGAACAAGCCTCCCGTTTTAAATTCAACCAAGATCAATGAACAAGATGTATCGCAGGTCTCGGAGGAAGTGTCCACTAAGACCTCAAATGAAGCACCTCCTGATACTGAGGATTACGGGGATCAGGTAAACTTTTTCGGCTGCTTTAAATTTGCATTCTGATGGACGCTAGTCTGTCCCTTTAGTACAATGTACATGAAATTGGTTAATCCACTATTTTCAGGAAAAAAATAGCGACGTTCTGTCATCCACTGATAAGCTTCATTTTGACAACGAAGAGACAGAATCCGTAAGTTGATTTCCTCTGCTCTTTTTTGCTTTAGTTCACAAAATCTTCGAAACACTCCTTTTTTAGGATTCCACCGCGAAAGTTCAAATTTTAGATCCTGACGATCCTCTTTTGAAGCCTAGTCATTGGCGATTTGATCCTTTTGCCATAGTCGACCTCCCTGATGAATCTCTTCCTGGAGTGAAGCGGCAAAGACTTCCCAGTCCAACTTTAACGCTTTTTGAGGTGAGATGCAATATCACTAAGTTCCATTGCTGATCCGCTTAGGTGCACAAGTGGCTTCTTTCAACCCATCCGTCGGATCTTGAAGATGAGGGGAGAGGGGAAGATGCAATCCCTCCTTATTCTTACTTGCTGGCTCCACCACTATCAGATAGAAGCGCTTCAAAACAAGCCTCTGATCTTCTTCTCAGGACATGTAACAAGTTCGGCATTGAGGCAGACAAATTAGGGGCTGAGTTAGTGGCTAATTGGAGATGGTATTAATATCCTCATTTTTGCTACTTCTGTCCATTATTTCCTCCCTTCAGATGGTTGAACAGTTTGGAGGAGCTAATTCATACCTTGCCCTCGAGCTTGGCCTTTCTATCTCTTTATAGACCGGAAACATACGAACGTGAGTTCTGAACATGTGTTGGTGAATTTTGCGGGGACAAATGACAAATGCTGACATCATATGTCGACTTATTTCTGAGGGCGGTACGCATTGAATGATGATGGGGAATCAAATGACAAAGTAGATCAAGTTGCATTTAATTTGCGTCTTATCATTGCCGAGGCAGTGACCATCCCAGAAGGATAAATGAACTTCTGGTTTGGTAGAAGAAGATGCATGTTTATAAGTTACTTAATTTTGTGCAAGCGACTTGATGCTTACAGTAATGAAGGAATGTATGCCCTTAATTAGAGTAGTTCGAGATTAGTGTGCTAACTTTTAATGATGCTTACTAGGGTCGATTCACTCACATCTATATCAATTCAGCGAGTCTCAAAAGCCGAAAGTAAAGAGTAGAAAGGAAAGGGTTCTGAAGGGATATTTTTTTTGCATTTGTCCGTTCATGCTACAGAAGGAATTTGCAAATGTCAATGTGATTTGTGATGAGATGTAATTTTCTGTTGCTGACTAACATGTTCGTAGGCGATCATCCCTCATTGTACCACTCTACCGCTTGCTCCTGACTCCTGAAGTATGCATCACTTGCACCCACAGGTTTATGGTTGGTTTTTTTGTTCCATAAACAAAAAAATGCTACAAGAATGATAATTGTGAGTTTGTGCCATGCTTAAAGTGGCGCCTTGTGGTGGCAGTAGATTTTGGAAACTGAATAGGTTTGCTGTATAATTAGTCTATTGGCCTGTGTAATTCAGTCTTTTATGGGTCACCCTTGATGAATGGTTAAATGATTTTGTTATGCCTAATCGTATTATCAGCGCCTAATTTTGCTCGCATCACGTTTTTCTTATTGACTGATGTTATTTTTTACCCCATTCATTGCATCATTGAAGGGGTGATTGAAGTGGGATCAGAGTGCTAGTGAAATTTTCCATAACGCTCGTTCTTTTGGACAGACAATCAGGTAGGCTCGGTTTTACCCTGACTCCGGAATCAAATGCCTGCCCCCTTTCATAAGAGAACCTGTCTACATTCGAACAGCACCTAAATGTTTCTGCACAATTATTACTATCAAACTGCTTTTTATTTTAGGTGCTCTGTGTTGTCTGGAAATGTATTAGAAATCTTAATTTTTATCTTGAGAACCCTTTTGCAGCGAAATTTTTAGGCTCCTGTCTCAGCTTTATTTCCTCTGTAGTCACTGGTAAGTTAGTGACTAAGTTGCCAATGGAAACTCTAGGGTCCAGATAATCACAAGTTTCTTAAATGCTTAATTCCTGTACGCTTTGAATTGTTTACCTGAAGAGGTCGAAGCATCGTTCATTTCTTTTATTGCAGTCGCTTCAAACTGCCTGATTTTCTGGGCTCGTACCGGTCTCCAGCTGGATAGTGCTCTTCGGCAACCCGATTCTGTGGATATTCTACGTCATCTTCGCGTCGGAATCGAGTTGGTCGGTATCCTGCTTTCTACGACATGCGAGGCACTGGCCACTCGTCTCCTCCAATCCACTTCCGCCTCTAGCATCTCCTGTTTCCATAGTCAACACGCATTGATGGATCTGCTCGAATCTCCACTCATCTCTACACCTCTACGATTACATGTGGTTGGTGCATTGGAACGGAGCTTGAGTGTAGGTATGGTCGGATTCAATGCGTTTGTGGGTCAGGAGAAGGAAGTGGTTGAAAATGGAGTTCGGGATACCGGGTTTGGGGCAAGAACGTCGACGCCCTATGAGCGGATTGTGCGCTTTCTCGCCAACAATACGGTAAGTGCTGCTTACGTTTCCCAATGCTAGGTGCCTGGAAAGACAACCAGAGCAAGGTGCTTGATAGCTTCACTTCCTAACAAAGTTGAGGTCGGCGACCAACTTATTTCAAATGCGCTTTTATGCATGGCGATTGAGCGTTTGTACAGAGCTTCAGTTGATACAGAATTCAACATTGCCTGCAAAATCCCTTTGTGTATGAAACTCACAGCTAATGTACCCGAATAGCAAGCGCTTACTCTGTCTGTATCTCGATTTAGCACGTTAATGTTACTTTACATGAGTAAAATGCTTGATCTCACACAGGTCTCCATGCTTATGCTTTGCTTCGATACGTTTTCTAAAAATCAAGAGTAATTTTTTGGCGTATTTTATTGAGCATAATTCTACCATAATTGCGAATTTACCTACTTTTTTCACCGTACTTCCACTTAGTCCCTTCCTGTGGCCCTGGCATGCGACCGTGTTCTGGCAAAAGTGCGTTTCTATGACACAATTCTCCAATTCGAAGATTCTATGGAGCAGTAAGTGTTTGTTGTCCCATTTCTCTCCTGTATTTTGGATACTTCGGGTTTTCTCGGTGTGCTCAAATTCTTGCTTTGCAGATTGAAGAAGTCGGTAGTTGAGGAGGCTTCGTTTCAAGAGGAGGTGGAGAGGGAATGTGCCTTACAAATGTACCTCGCCACCATTTCTCGTACAATTGCCGATCCGGAATCTATTCTTGTAAGCTAATATGCCACTCTTGTGTCTGCATCTGCGGCCGGCGTTGCAAAAGGCTCACTCACTTTTTTTTAGTTACGAATCTTTTCTGTCACCATCAAATTTGAGGAGCTTAAGTGGATTAAATTAAAATATTTTGCTCTTTGAAATGATTACCAAGTGAAACAGCCATCCTTTCCCACTTTTCTCGTTAATAGTTCTTTGTGTTTCAATTTAACCTTCATTTCCTGACTGCTCGTTCTTTTTCGCACGTAACTGCTTAACACATCACACATCATTGGATGGGAATAGACGATAGTTTGAGTTGTTACTTCCCTGCCTTCCTCACAGCTTAGAGTGTTGTATGAAATCCTTAGCATCTGTCGCAAGCCTTTCTTGAGTCCATTCGCTGCACATTCTAGAACGTTCTAGAACTCACACTCCTCTTGGATTTTCCTAGTTGACCTATATTGCATACACAATGACTAGGCGTAATATAGTATTCACGTTGAATTTAATGTTATTAGAGGTGATATAAATGGACACCAGCATGACTATCCCTTGTCAAGTCTTCTTTGATGTCGTGATCTTGATATCACCTTTTTACTCATTACAGTCATCCCTACCAAAGGCTGCACCGAGATTGAAGTCACTAAAATCATTCAGTGACCCTTCTCCTGTACTCTACAGGCTTCTGGATTCCATGTAAGCCATCACTCAGATATTTTAAGCTTCTCTCAGTATCCCTTTTGCAGAAGGCCAATAGGGTAACTCCCAAGTTTTGAAACTGCATTTTTAACTTGGCTATGGTGCTTGTGGGAAAAAAATGAATTAATTATGGTAGAGAAAGAATATTTTGCTTTGTATTCTGAGGGTTAGCATTTATCACTTGATTTGCACCTTCCCTTTCAAACATCTATAACTTGTTTTGAAACAATAAATCTGTGTGTATTTTCACTTTTTTTGTAATAATTTTTGCCGTCCTTGGAACGAAATGGGTTGGGTAGGGAGACGCGACTCTACAATGTTCATCCTTCTCTAATATTTAACTGGATGAGCTTGGTTTGACTGCCATTGATCTTAACCATTGCTTAGCTTTCAAACAAAGAATTGAAATCGAATACACAGATTACATGCATTTTAGTAATTTCCTCGACCACTTGATCTGGCTACTGAACCAAGCACATCGTAGAACGATACACTCAACTGCCGTCTCTGACGCCGCTCGGCGGACCCTCGCAGCCCTCCTTAGCACCCCCGCAGGTCTTCTATTCCTCGCTTCAGCACCTGTTTCGGCTGGCCAAATTCTCCGCTACCACCTGCACCAACAGCGGCGAGGATGGAGACGACTAGGCCTTGAAATGGCTGTTAAGTTGGAGGCGCTTGCCTGCATTGACGTTCTCATTGCGTATACAAGGCGTAAAGGTGAATGGTTGCTAAAAGATCGGGCACTAAAGCACTTTGAACTTTGCAATTTGTTACTGCCCGTCAACGACTTTTCTACATTGTCCCATGTCGAAACATATTTTTAGATGCCTCATGAATAGCTCTTGGATTAAGCGTTGTTTTCCAGTAAGGCGAAACAGTGATTCATGGCTATTAGCTGCACTGTACGGTGGCGCTTCTACCCTCTCCCTAGGTTGGATAAATTGGCATCTAACTAGTTAATACGCGACTTCATCAAATCTATGATATTTCTCCCATTATGACTACTGTGGTTGAACTCAGTGACTTCTGTATTATGCTCTTTCCCCATTTCTCATCGTCACCATCATCTGTCATCCACTCGTGTATCTTTCCGTGGAGGTGAAACAGGCTGCCAGCGGTACATAGCGGAAGTGGCAAAGTCAGAGACGGCTAATAATGAGGCAGATACACTCTACACTGCGCTTTTTGCGCTGGCTCGTCTCTTCCTCACACCTGACTTTGCACCATGGGCTGCAGAGGTGGTGGCTGCTGAAACGGGCGACTTCTTTGCTCCCTGTCTCTTACTACTCGAAGCTGCATATCGGCATTCTTCCGATGCCACTACCGCTATTTGTGCTCCAGGAGAAGCCTCGACTACGGTGGCCGAGGCAGAACGAGGTGAGCTAACAAGGTCTGGAATTGAAGTGGTGTCACTATTACATTGCAATCACGGTGAGGTCCGAGTGTATGATAGTGGCAATGTGCATATAGCTTTATCGGCTTAGGTTGTTCTCGGTCTCCAAACAGATCGGAGTGTTATAGGTCAAACCACCGGAATTCGGTAACAGAAATGAGTGGTGTTGGGGCGATTTTTTTCTGACACGAAAATTAATGAAAGCGACGAAGATATGGTGATGGATGATGCTATAAGTACACTTTTTAGTTTCATTGATAACGGCGTAAAATGCACCGAATTCATCCTAGCACATCCTCGTATTCGCTTGACCAAAGATTCGATTGGCATTTTAACTGCGAAAGGTCCATTTAAAAGCCACTTAACTAGTGGTAGTTTCTTCTAGCTGCTATCGCTTTACGTTTACTTGTATGCTACTTTAGATAAGCCGGAATATGAATCAAAACCGAAGTTAGCGCAACAGCTAAATCAGGATCAGGGTCAGTACGGACAACCGTGTGAGGCCCTACTATTGCGTCTGGGCTTTTCCCTCGAACGCATGGAGATCGACAGTCTCCTTTCCATCATCACTGTAGGAGTACTGCGCCACGCCTCTGATATACGCTATCTGGAGCGATTTGCACCACGTCTTCTACGCATTGTTCAGTGTAAGCCTTTTATTCCCCTTTGTCCTTGCGTCTAACTCTGATTGGTTGGTTTGGGGAAGGGTCTGGAACGATGGTCGGTTCTTCTGCTGACTTGATACAGTGATTACACTTTTCTTTGTGCAGTATGGAGCATGGGCGCATGAAATTAGATCGATTAACCTGATAATATGACCACAGATTTTGGCCTCCCATAAAGGGATTAATTTATTCTGTTCTTGATCAACAAACGGCCATCAACGACAGTCAGACAGTTGATCATAATTGACCTTCCAAGCAATCGAGTTTCGGTTTCCTCTATCAAAATTGAGCTTCACATTAGTAAAAATAGGTTCTCTGGCCTAGATTGTACCGGAATTGGTAAGTTCATGCCAGTAAGTACATACATCAGCTCGCGAAAGCTGCCTGCGATGAGTTTGGACGACGGTATGCCATCTGATCCAAGTAGCTCTTTTCGAGTTGGCATTCCATCGCATACAAGTATCGAATTAGTGTTAAATGAGAAATCAGTTTTCCAGATATATCAGGTGAATCAATACCAATGTGGCGAGTAAAGTGGAGGTGAATAACTTTTCTTACAGTGGGAGCTTTTTTCAAGCTCTAAATGTCATTCTGTACCTTTTATTTGGAGAAGTAAAAGTATATTCTTAGGGTCATTGGCTACTCTGTTGCAGTTGCCGTCTAGCAATATCCATGTCCTATCCTTCTTTTCACCTTTCTGACCACCTTGCTTCATTATCAAGGTCGCGCTCCATGTGCCTTTCTTTAAAATCAGCGGAAGAGTTTTGACTCAATTCGCTCCGCTCTTCTATCTCACCGTAGTCAGGAATTAGATAAAGTTGACAGTCAATTTGTGCAATAGTAATATAACGCGAACAAACTAACGGTTTCCATTGAATGTAAACTGTGTGATTCTGAAGACATTCTGGCTTCGGTTTTGCTTTTTCAGCTACTTCGTGGGAAGAGCGTCTTTCCTGCCTCTCACCCTCTGAGCTCTTCTCTCACCAACGTATCTTCTCAGAAGCTGGTGCTCCTTGGCTCTTCTGGCTGCGTGAGGCCTCTACTCCTACTCTTATCACATCCCCCACTGAGCTTTTTGCTTGGTACGCGGATCAGTTAGGTCCTCTTGTTGAAGCGTGTGAAGACAGTCTAACCGCCCCACCACCCGCTCTTCTCCTCCTCCTTCGTCTCCTCCGCTTTTCTCTCACTGATAGCAGCAGCAGAGTTGCTGACTTTGAGCTCAATGTGATTGAACTCTACGCTCGAGACGGTCTTGCCATCCTTTCCACTCTTGTTGATTTCACCGCTGACCACCTCCTTCTCCAGCAGTTCAACAATCGAGGTTATCGTCGAGGTTGTATTGAACCTATGGTTGCTGACATGATGGCAGAGGGAGTGGCAATTCTTGCCCACTTAGTCATCGCACTAGCAAACGCAATTGGCGAGGACTTTCGGGATAGAACACCAATCAAGGCCGTCTGTAGGGCCTATGCTGCTGCTGCTGTGGTTCATTGCCGACTAAGTGAAAAGGTGGTGGCATAGTCGATTAGATGACATCAAACAGCGCTAGTTGCCTTACATTTTGTTGTGCTTTCGTAGATCAGAAGAAATGTTCTTCGTTGTATATCTGCTTACTCTCTGGCGAGTCAGGATATGGATGCATCAGAAGGTAATTTTTTGTTGTTATCATCCGTGTATCAGTTAGCATTCACGTTATTTTTTAAAATTGTTTATCAATTGTCGCAGTACTAATGTTTGACATCTTTCCTAATACTGTTTCTCTGGTAGACATTTCCTGCATTAACTCGCCATCAGAAAGCTTCTTTACTCACATTGCATCATTCGTTTTTGCTTATTTCAGGAACTGAAAAGGATCTCTGGTCGTCAGTGTGTCGAGAAATCCTCTCTTTTACTATTTCCTCGCCATCTTTCTTCCTTCCCGGTCTGCAACTCTTATTAGATATGCTCCCACTACCGTTACCAATAGAGACTTTGAAGGCTCTTTCGCCGTCTGAACGACAAGCTGTGAGTTATCCAAAGGGATTTTCATTCGAATATTGCAGTGAAATTTAATAATTTAATTAAAAAAAGCTTTTAATCTTGAGGAATGTTCTATTTTATCAGTTTCGGTTCATTACATCATTTTGGACTCTGCAGCAATTTTTTAATCCTCACTTCACTAAGCACTCACTAACAACTGTGCCAGTGAATATTCTCAATCCTGAACGTGTACCATTTCGCTACAGGTGATCGCTGTCCGTAATTGGTGGTGTCATCGTCTAACCCATGATCTTGCAGTGGAGGTCTGTGGTCTTGTTGAAGTACTCAGTGCCAGTCCCCCTAGTGGAGTGCTCCGCCGACGTCTGTCCATCTTTGTGGACCGTATTACCGCCCTCGGCTCCTTTGCCTTACCCCAGATACTTGTCACGTCAGCCGTTGACACTCTTCTCGAAGTATATCAAGCTGCTAGTGCTGATATTGGTGGCGGGGGTGGCTCGGTCGATGACGTTCAACATCAGGAAGCGACTGATTCAACAAATACGGCGACAGGTTTAGTTGGCGCGTCATGGTGAGTCCAGAGAGTGATTTTGCAAGCTCTGATTCTCTGTCTTTGTTAGACTTACTGATCCACATCTGATCGCTTCACAAAATCATTTGCTTTGCTTTTGGCTCTAAGCTGAATTTCGGCGGCATTGCTGGATTATTTTGAGATTGGATGTGTTTTTGTCGACTACGTGCACTTTAAACGCGTTTATCCTTAATGTGAAGTTTTCTCATGTTCATGTCACGGAAGATATGGGACTTTAAGAGTGCTGATCTTCAGATAAAACGAAAAGTGGCCTCCCATAAAAATTTGGTTGTATCAATATTGAATCCCGTTACTCGAGTTTCCAATTCATCAGTAGAATCATGCATCCTTATCTCTGGCGATTGTGCAAGTCCTCCTAATTACAGAAGCAGCTTTATTATGGACATATAGGAATCCCAGAGTCTGGTAATTCTTGAGATATGATCCGGACTCTCTGGCACTGAAGTGGATACTGGATTGTAGGTGACCATGCGATCATCTACCTATACTTATAAATGTCAGTGTAGACTAAAGTTAACCCTCACTCCCCACGTTTCAGTGCAGTGGACTTCAACCTACCTCTAGCCATCAAGACGTTAACCTCGGGTAGCAAGTTAGTGTTGGGTGCGCAGCAGCCACCAACTCTGCCAGAGCCACCTGTTACCACATCGCAGCCGTCACTACCGCCGTCGTCAGCAGCCGCAGCAAACGAAGATATTGCAGCCTTCGGCAATGTTCTAGATGCCTCTGAAATTCTGCACGCTCTCTCCCTTCTCCATTTCAACCTACACCACCCGGTTTGCAAACAGGCTTTCCTCGATCTTATTCTGAAGGACTCATCGACGACATCGCCGTAACTGCTGGGGACTTTTTGTTATTTGGAGAAGTTTTATGGCTATTCGTTCCTACTTTAAATTTTGATTCGACGTCTGTTTCTCGATTTCAGACCCCGGCTCTCCAAAAGCCGCCGCCTTATGCTTATCCTTTCCAGCATTCTGGAAGGAGTCCATCCACCTGAATCTCATTGTCATTTGGAGGCGCAGGCAAAGGTCATTGTAGGTTAAATCCCTACTTCGCCTCCTCTTATCGATCAACTACCTTCTGTATGCTTGTTCCTTTTGCACATGTTAGGAATGCATCAACTACCTGTTGGACACTAGCATAGGCCTGAAGGCGATTTCTGATCCTTCTGATCCTCTCTTTGACCTTGCTAATCATCTGCCTCCATATGAATGGCTAAGTGACCTCGTTGCTTGTCTGCTGACCTATATACATCCTTCTGTAAGGGCTTCAACACCATTGACGGTTCGAGTTCTCTACATTCTTCATCGTCTTGCTCTTCACGACTTTGGATTTGCAGTCATCCAAAGGTATGCTATTGGAACTACTTTTCGAACTCCATTTTTGCGCCTAACGTTTCACTTGTAGGGGACAATTTGATTGTCAAGGGATAAACCATCATATCACCATTGTGAATACTAATTCACGAATGGATGGTGTTGACGTAAAATTATTCCAGTTTATTATCCCTATTTTGTCGTATGCATCATTTCGATTCTGAAAACTTATCCGTTTCTAAGTTTGTTTCTTCCTGTTTCATTGTCAGCTTAATGCAATCGCCAAAATAAATTATTTACAACTACTTGCAGTAGAGGCAGTGTTGGCTTTCCGCTCGGCTGGTTTCATTTCCTTCCATTTGAATTCATCCATATTCTTAGCCACTGTGTAAAATTTCGGCACAAAATGGGGCGTCACCAAACTACTAATGTTATCCGCCAGTCGATTCTTTTGCATCAAGTCTTTATTTTCCGATGAAGGGTCGAAATTTTGCGCGCATTCCATGTAACTGAAATCCCGATAGTTTTGTTCATGACTAGTGGGTGAACAGACAACCTGTGTTCTCACTATCTCCTCTCTCCTTCTCCTTAATCCACAGACATCTCTGCCATAAGCAGCATGAGCGTGTACTTACAAATCTGCTACAAGGTCTCATCGATCGCTTCAGCATTGAGTGTCGCTTCACCTTGGGCGCTTTCCTTCTCTTCATCAGTGCTCTCCTCGCCGACCCTATCTTCGCGGAGGAAGCTGTTTTAGCAGCTGGCGCGCTCGTCAATTTTACTCCCTCTGCAGAACTAGCAGACCGTCAACTTCGCCTCCCCACATTTTGGTTGAGGCAGCTGCTAGGTTGGGGTGGTAGTAGGTCAGAGAATCTGGTAAAGGAGGTGACCACCAGGCTGGATGTGAGTGAAAGCGAATAATATCGAAAAATGTACATTTTGAAGCTGGCTATAACTATATTTCGGTCCTAATGTACTTTTTCTATGGGCCTTTTGATCGATATATTTGTGACTGTTGAACAAAATCATGCTCAACATTAGGTAGTCTTTCTCGGTATCCATAAAAGCATCTCTGGTACGACGATTGAATAATTATTTATTCACAATATCAGTTGCTTACTTTGGCTTAAGTAGCAAGTTCATTTACTATTTGACTATTCATGGCGCTAATTTTACGCTCCCCAGACTGCCATGTCGGGCGCCACAGAAGCAGATTCCTCTACTTTTCGGGCTCTTCGCGATGGTATGAAGAGTTTGATGCATCTGCTAGCTGGTCCGGAGGATATTTCTACAGGCACTGAAGTTGTTGCCAATCTCGACACCGTCCAACCTCTGCCTATCCCCACTCTCCCCACTGCCCTCACTCTTGTGGAACTCTACAATTACCACTACAATCACCTTATTGATCACCAAGTGGAAGATATATCTAGTCTTCTTACTGCTCGCCGTGCTCTGAACGAATCTCTCCTCTCTCCGTTCCTTTCCACCGCTAACAATCTTCCTCAGCGTCAGTTGAGCACTATAAACTTACTGGACTACGCCAGTCACATCTGCCCAGGCGTAGACTTGAGGGCAGAGGTGGCTGCAATGGGCAGGACTAGACGTCGCAGGCGGGATGTAGAAGATACCGAGGCCATGATTCAACATAAGAGACGCAGGAAGGGTCAAGCCTCTGATATTATTCAGACGGGCCGATCAGCTAAGAAATATGGTATGACGAACGTTGATTTGAAATGCTGTAAAGAAATTGTGCATTATAATCCTTCAAATTGCATTGAGACGTAAGCCTTTAAAAAAACCAATTTTAATGAGAGGAGTATTAATTTCTTACTTTTCCATTATGGCACTTTGCATTATACTTTTATATTTGGCTATTATTGCCTGCTCTTTCTGCTCCCACAATTAACTGGTCCAGTGCAATTAGGTCAGGTGCTAAACCTCTCGCCTAAATGTCTTCAATGGATTTGCTTTCCTTCTTCTCTCAAAGTTGCTCCAATGCGTGGTCGTGGCTTCACAATTCGTCAGTCAACTCAATCTTCAAGTGGAGGTGGAAGTGGCGGTGGTACCAGTAACATCGGGAGTAATGTTGGTAGCGGGACCACCGGTTCTAGTCTTCTGGGTGTGGGCGTGGCTACTGGTGGGGCTGTTGGCGGACGTACAGACATATTCCGATCCCGACCCCAAAATACTAGCCGGCCTCCCAGTCTGCACGTGGACGACTTCAACAAGTTGGAGAAGGATGAGGGAAACGCTTGCTCAGGATCTGGTCATGAGGTGATTACGGTATATGTTGTTAGGTTGTCGATAGAGTTTTCGAATACTGTGCTTTTGCGACTTTTTGAAAACTCATTACGTTCCATTCCACTATAATGAGAAATTCTTTAGAAATTCCTTGCCTGCTATCGGGAAGCAGTGGAAATAGAGTGACTTGTTGCCCAACAGTGGAAATGCTGGGAAGCATTAGCCTTGGAGAAAGTGACAGTGCTCTGCTGTGCTCTATTTATTCGTAAACTATTGGTGCCACCGCCGCGAATACAAATTTCCTCTGCGCGCATAATGCGGAACCAGAGTGAATTGTTTGAAAGGACTGAAAATGTCGTATCAGTTCCAAACTTAAAGTCGTGTTTATGAACAGGGGCTTGAAATTTCATCATGTCTGTAGCTTTATTTGCTTATCTAGGCTAAAGCTGACAGGCTACGACAGGTGCAAACGTTTATGTCTCCCTCCTGGCACCCGTGCCATTATCCCCCAAAAATGATACGTAATCCATTGGAAAGGAAGATGATGCAACTAGTTTGCTGTTTGGCCTTGTGTAGTGTTTTTCCCAAATCCCGAAGATATGAGAATAGATCAGATTTTTAGGTGCAACTTTTACATTGTATTCATTGTTTTCTCCCCACTGTGCAGGCAAAGAAAGGCGATTTTCGCACTTCTTTATTTTTCATTAAAGTGACTCTGATTCATGTTTTCTTTGGTTTCTGTTAGCGTTTTGATATTCTTGAGACCACCCTAATTGCCATCGGAAATTTTAAAGTCTCAACTAGATGAGTTGCAAGTTTGGATTAGAATGATTACAGGAGCGGATTATTTGTTTGTTTCCTATTTTAGCTGTCTTATGGCCGTGATAGTAGCGGGCTTCGTGGAATTCGTGATTCCACTTTATTCAGAGGTGAGGAAGATCGGTCTTTTATTTGTTACTTGCTTTAAATATGTCTCACATCAGCCTGTCATCTAAGCGCCCCACTAGATTTGAAGTGTTGATAGATTTAAAACTGCTCAGCCGGTAAGTTTGCATCACATTCATGATGGAGAGTAGTGAATTTGGGTCCTTAAAACGGATCTCTTTTTTCGGCATCTTCAATTTCTACGTGATTTCCCATATTACTACCCCAGTAGCTATGAAATTCGCTTTTTTAAAACAACAAAAAGCATAACGCCATCGTTTCGTTCAGCTAGGTAGTCTGATTGGAAGCAGGTAAACGCCATATCTAGTGTAATTTTCCATTACTTCGACTTCGGATTTCTTCTATGGCTTAAATTTTTTTATACCACAAAAAAACTGCAAGGGTTTGTCATTAGAGTGAGTTAAAGTTTCTGAATTGAAAAGCTGATGATGTCTTCTTGGCAGGTGTTGCGCAATTCAGTTTTGTAAAGTCGAGTTAGTTCATCAGATATAGCGTAGATGTTTGAGCGAAAAGACTATGAAATTGTATTTGTGCTCAATCAACTAAACTTCCTTGGGCGTGTAAGGATTAAACGAGTTACTGCCAGTTTATCCGTACTTGATGTATCTGCGCTCAATCAAAAGCTCCTCCTGTTACAATGAGTCTCATGCATCTAGATAGGTTCTAGCACATTTTAGACGCCCACTCAACTTGGAGTTCAGTTATTAGGTCTTATTTTTGGCTCTGAATTTTCGAATGAATAGAATTGGTGTTGAATTTGAACACCTTGTCACTGACCTTCTGCTGAAGGAAAGTACGTAAGTTGGCTAGTTTTACACAGCCCTCGGAGTTGTATGTTTCATTAGGTAATGGGAAATGGTATAGTATTACTCATGCGATCTTACTAGAAATGGGCCCCTTTTTGTCACTACGTTACCCCGCTTGGCAAAGTAGCCAGAGGGCACCACGAACGTCTATTACTCTAGCCATTTCTTCTGGCATTAAGCTTGCTTTTACAGTTAGGAAGTTTTCTACTTCCTACTTGTTGGTGGATGGCGTCGATAAGACTTGAACAGGTTCAGAAAAGGCAGAACTGTTTTTACTGCTCCATGTTCCCCTCGATGATTCATCTTCCAAGCCCCTATGCGCGCGTCTACACCTCCCCCTGGTGGTGCTAATCCACTTCAAAATTTGGCCACAAAACAGAAGCTTGGTTGTCATGGTACATAGGACGTGTCACATTGACTCCATTCAAATAGTTATGCGTTCTTACGGAATTTTGTGCTATAAGGTCGAGGGAAGCAAATGTGATTGAAGGAGACAAAAGGATTCGCATTTCTCCTTGGCGTTGACTTATCTTACTTATTGAGGCACTGGCTTCGTCTAAGGTAAATGAACATATTACGCAAATTTTTCATGGTTAAATCGAGACGGTTCTCTGCAAATGGTTACTTCAGGTATTTTTCGGTAGGAAAAGCCCGTTTTTCCAAACAAAGCATAATTTTGCTGTTATAAAATGCCTAAGTTATGAAAACAAGCAACCCACTTCTAGTCAGTGCCATCTCAACCTCAGACCTAATTTTAACTGACTGAAAGTGAGCAATTGAGTCTGTAGGTGGACTAAAAGCACACAAAGTATATGAATGAAAGTCGACAAAGTGTTTGCGTGCTTCCAACTGGAACACAAAGCCCATATCTCTTCACTATTTGGTCGTGAAACAGTTGCTTCCTTACGATTAAAGCAACGTAGAAGTCTTAGGCGGGCATGTTCGTGTGCACGATATCCCTTGGCTTTGCTTCCTTTACGATTCTTCCCTCTGTGTTTGCTTATTAGCGCATTCCTACATCAGTCACACCATGCTTTACTGGGAGTCCGTGGCACTCTAATTTCAGATTATTTAAACCGGCAGAGTCACATCATTCTTTATTGTTATCAATGAGCGATGTTTTTTTTCTCAAAATATTGCATCTTTACTTGATCTACTAATCCCTCATTTCCGTACTGTCGTAGTTTTTGGCATTTCCTGACTCATTGTTTTGCTAGCTCGATGAATTATGGCGAGATGTTGAATTCTACTAATTCTTCTAATGTCAACTTAAAATTGCCCTGTATGGCGTCTTGAGATCTGATGTTAAGTAATGCAGCTGGATAGATTTGCTCTACCTATGGACCTTTTTAAGCTCTCTTCAAAAGCAAGTCGGTCAACCAGACCCCATTTCATCCAGCTTTCAAATGTTTAAACAAGTATTATTCAGTCTGGGTGACGGTTTTACGATGCCAGATTGAGGGTACCCAGTAAAGGAGTTGAAATTGTTTCAAAGTCAAAACCGCAACCCCAGAGTTTTAACTCATGGCATGTAAAAAACCATGAATTATGATCTTATGATACTTAATTTTGTTAAGCTGTTGTTTAATCTAAAAACCGCCCATAAGAAGACTTTTAAGCCTGCTAAGCCTTGTCGATGACTTTAAATCTACGGGTGCTGTTTACAATACGGTCCTGTGGTGACAAGTTGATGAATTTAGGGAACTATTGTCTCAGAAATTCAAGGCGACGGTTACACCGCTTTTAAGCACTTTTATTGCTACCTCTAAAGTTTGGCATTGTTTGAGAGTCTGACTGTCATTTCTTTTTGCTGCGGCTTGAACTTTCAGGTGGGCTCTATCGCTTCATGTCTAAGATGAAGCGTGTTCCGTTGGCTATTGGTTGTAAGATATAGCAGCAAGGAACTCCTATTGCCGCTTACTGACGGCTATTTAGCATACCGAAAGAATGGTATCTTGCATAAAATTTGGTGTATTTGTCCTCGAATCGCGTGTTTTCTTTTATCTAGTTGGCAAGATTGATCTCTACTTAGCCCATGATCTGCCACACCTCATAAGGTTACTTTTTAAAGAAGCGGAAGTGCTTTGAGTCGCTTATTTACCTTATGCTAGTTCTTGCTTCGTCATCATGGCAGTTAATTGTGCCTTGCAATGCTTGAATCTCCTGGTCTGCCATTTGCCGTTTCTATTTGGTCGTAGTTAACTTTCATCGCTCAATTTGCTCAGATCCCTATCAAGAAATCATCAGTGTAAACACTTCTTGACGTCTTTGCCACCCCATCAACCCAACACTAATATTGTTAATGTCACTCCAGTGATGAAATGAACCTATAGCCCCAGGGCTGTCTTATGTCGCTTCTTATCCACAGGTGGTCGAGGTGGTGGGATGGTGGGCAGTCAGAGGGTTCTCTCTACTCTGCCCTTTGTAGGAACTGCCCCCGCTACCTGTGGAATCCTCCCGTCGCCGGTAGTACCCTTGCAGTCTTGGCCTACCAACCAATCGCTGTAAGTATTATTGGCTTTTTTAAATCTTGCCTTTTAGCGTTGCTTCGATTTAATGTCTCTTCATTCGCTGCTTTATCTCTGCAAATACTGTACCTTCGTAAGGCCCCAATTTTCTCGTCCTAGTAGTACAATACCGTAAATACGTATCATGCTTTTATCAACTTATGGCGGCTGTTTCCAGCAAATCCTATAACATGGGATGAGCGGAGTAGAAAATTCACGGCAGTCGCATCACTTTGTTTCATTCAGTACCTTTTGCGGATCGCGGTGTTCATTTTTTTCTGAGGCCTCTGAAGAAGAAGTATGACACATTGCTTCAATTCAACCCAATATCGTTTGTTCGGGTATTGTTCACAAATTTACTTGATCTTCGTCTACCACTCTATGGGAACTTTCTTCTAGAATATAAGCTTTTTTTTCATCAATCGGAGGATCAGAGAGAGAATGGCAATGACGCCTTAAAAATATCAATAAACTCAGTGGTTTGGTGCGTTCGCTCTTTTTATTGGCGCTTCACACTCGTCCCTTTTTCTATCTTCAATCATAAAAATTTATTTGGGATTTCTGGTGGCGCTGAATTGCATGGCCTTTATGAGCTCTAATGGGTGATTAACTGGGCTTACTCTATTTTAATGTTTCTTAACCCAAAAGCTGGGAGTTTGTGGTGATCAAATTTCCTCTCCATCGTGAAAGTGAGGAAAACCAAAGGCTTCAGATAAAATATTTTAGAGTAGGAAGGTCTGTAATCTTCAACCACAGTAACGATTCTTCATATCGAAAATTCGCACCTATTTTCACATTCTCATGATAACATTTGAGAGGGCAACCATTGGCGTTCATTTGGAAGAGCCGATTCCCACAGTCGTTTAATCTATTGGTGACCAACATTTTCAATGGAAATTACTGTTTTTTTGTGAAAGAATTTTGCGGTTCTATTTTGGCATCCTTCAAAGAGTGTGATTAAATAGTAAAAATTCAATTCCTATGTACTTTGAAGTATTAAAGCGATCTGAAATCTCTCCACATTGCAGCCTGTATGTTGAAAGCCCTCAAAAATTGGTATAGGAGGCTCTGCATAATGCGACTCACAGCCTAGTGATTGTCACTGTCTCATTTTCAGTCCTTCAAGTTGAATGCACCACTAACTTTTCCCTCTCTTAGTGGCTTGAATGTGACACTCGGCCAGACACATTTTACGGGTTGCCGAATAAACCAACTTGCTTTTCAATAATTCCATTGACAAAGAAGTAAAATCTTCTGGCTATCTTGTTTCTGCACTTTACCCTAAGGACATCGATATCCGCATTTGAACACGATTGTCTGAACTTCATCGTAACATTGTCTCTTCCATATTTAATTTACCCGTTGATTGCATTTTCCTTCAAACGTTATGCATTTTCTACAAACTTTCCAATCGTCCACAATCTCGAAACAGTAAGGTCATGTCCGATTTCACATGAACTTTGCGGTGGTTCACGTGTCTGAAGGGGATGGCATCAAAGAGGCTTTTTGCTTAGAAATGTTCTTTTAAAGGTCCTAAATGCATCACCAGAGGTTCCTAGGCGTTGATTGGTGCAGCGATGACTAACAGCGCGCGTCCCACATCACTGTGATCGTAGTGAGCCGCTAGAGGGCACAAGCCATTACCACAATCTCTCCTATCATAGTTTACCAGTTGACTTTTTTATTCAAAGGTGACTTGTACGATTCATGTCTATGGAGACTTTGGAGGGTGTAATAGGTAATTTGAACAATCACACCCTAAGTATAAGATTTGTGTAAATATTTTCAATGCTTTCATGCCTTTTATGCATTAGCAATCAGCATCTTCTGACTCTCACAAATCCGACGGTGTCGAGCCGTTCAACGAGTGGAAATATGCCGCCTCCGCGTATCGATTGAACTGTTGTGGATAGTCCTGTATCTTGAATGGTTCTCCGCTTCCTCCTTACCATTCCGTGTAGATGCAAACACAAGTATTCTGTACTGGCTTATTATGCTATCGTCTATCTCTTTTATTTATCATGATAGTGCGGCAGCTATACTTGGTCTTTTTTCCATACAATAAAGTATTTAAGAAGCTCTCCGCCCAGCTGTTAGCCTAGTCTTTGGAAAACTAGTGTTTTTAGTCTCTTCCGATGGACTTGGGTGATCGGTCAAACCTAAGCGTTTGGGATCTACCTGCAATGCCTTCAAATATCCTTCAGGTTATTTAATGGGATAAATGAGAGTACTCCGGTATTAATAAGGGATCCTCAAGGCGACATTTAGTGGGATGCGTAACTTGGTGTCGTCCACAGCTTATTCTATTGCAAGGCAAATGTTGGCCTGGATCACAAGGCAGCCCATTCCACTAGTAATATGTGAGCCTCACGAGGCTCTAAGGCTTGAATCACGATTCCTGCTATGAAGATGGGAAACCGCATATTTGCTACAGAAAATAAAATGAATGTTCAGTGCTTGCGCTGTGGCAAAATTGTGCCTCATGCTCATTAGGGAAGTCTGACTTTTGATCAAAGAGAAGAGTGGTTTGGAAAATAAATTGCTAAGTTAAGAAAGTAAGCATAGTTCATGGGTGTGGCAAGGTTTTGAGTTGCTAAAAATTAACGTTTCCGCCTCAACCCTTCAATGTGAGGCACAGCGTACTTGATTTTGGTGCATTTTTGTACAGTTCGGAGACAGGATGAAGTGTGGTGAGGAACGGTTTTATAAACATTTCCACGAGTGATTAGTGAAGATTGTGAAATAAGAAGAGTTGCCTGTGTGCCCTCCCAATTGTAAAAGAATAGGAGGTTCCTTTTACGTTTATCCCAGCGCATCACGAAATCAATGGCAGAGCGGTAATTTTATATCGCATCTCGTCAATGAATCTCCTTAATACTTTGATGGAAAACTTGAACTTTTGCACTTCCTTTACAGACAAAACAGTATGTCAAGTCACGGTTCCTATGAAGCGTTCGTCTTGTCACGAAAAATGTGTATTTCACCTCTGCTTCTTCCATTAACAAGTGTATGTAGTTTTGGTTTACCTATGAAACTAGAACCACGATTAACCAGTTAACTAGATATCGTTGCAGCTGATAGTCTACTTTCTCCGCTTCAGCATTTGTCAAACCCTCGCATCCACTCTGACCTCCGATTCCAGATTGTCGTGGTGTGATGTGGCCTTTGGTGATAGTGCGTGCTTAAAGGCATCGAGATGCAAATATTTGTCTGCATTTTCAAGACATGTCGGGCGGAAGGAGAGTAATTTGAACCCTATAGCCTTTGAAGACAATGCACAGAAGCTATGCCAGTCAAGATTGGACATTTCATAGATTTACTAGATTCATTTTCCATTCGAATCCTGCTACTTGTTCATGCTTCAATGTTCGAGATAGTGCTGGCAACAAATTGCATTGGCATGATTTCGGAGTAACGCTCTCTTTATTCGCTAGTAATGGCATGGAGGTGGAATCTGTAACACACATACATGTGTACATACAGGCATACATACAAATACACATCATCGAGAAGTTTTGCCAGATAATGAGGAATCCAGACTTTTCCATCAATGCATTCCTCAGGCAGGGATTTTACACATTTTGCGCCTAATGGACGCATTCAGGTGGATTGAAAGACAATAAGAGGTCAAGACTGTGTTTCCCCATCGCTCAAGAAGATACAAAGCAGAAGTATGAGAGAAATTAGTCTTGATGATCCTCCAAATGACCACTTCCTTTGCATTACGTTCGGTCCATTTCTTAGATTGCATGAGGTATGAAGGTGTGCGTGGCACGGAATAAGCTTTTGATCAAGAGATGCTTTCCAAAAGCGAGAACAGAAAGGTAGGCGACGAAATCGTTGCCATTCACAACCATCACTGTGCGAGAAAGGCAGTCGGTTGTAGCTGATCTACTGAGTCTGGGGGAATTTTCTCCTTAAATAGGGATTCTTGGAAAATAAATAACGCTGAAACGTCTGAATTTTTGTTCTTACCGATGTGATCGAAGACGGAAGTGAAACTGTGGAGACGAGTGCTCCGCGTGATTAAAAACGCGCAGATGATTTGGAATGTTGGTGAAAGTTATCTACAGATGAAGAATCTGTTATTTAATCATGAGAACCCTGACGGGACCATGCTTGAGTTTTCACCTGCAGTGCTCGCTTGGGGAAACGTCTCATTTGCAAAAAAATTTCAAAAAATATTAGATTTTGTAGGCCTTGCAGAGGGGACATCCGGTCTCTGTTTATTTCCCGTCAAGTGCAAAAATAGAGAGCAAGAGTTAGTGACTAAGTGGTGAACGGTAACGAGATTTTGCTCATTCTATTGCCTCAAATTTTTTCTATGACCAGGACGACTAGACAAGATAATTGAGTTCTGTTTAATCTGTTCTTCAACATAAATGCCAGCGATTTTTGGGTCGCATTGCGGTGCATGCCGAGGAAGAACATTCTCTCTGTTGTTTGGCACGCAGACATCATCCTAAAATTAATTACCTCTGCTTAGTCAGCATTACACACAGTTTCTTGGGACTGGATGGCCCACTGAAAAGCATCCTATGACTGGGTTGTCAAGCCCAGTTCCCTCTCCTATTCGGCAGTCAAATTTGATCAACGTGAAGCCAAGGAACTCAACGCTGTGTGCGTCCTTTAGCACAAAACTTGATCGTTGAAGCATTCAGAGATGACATTTTTATTACCTTCACTTGGCAAGACGAGTAATTAACTATGAAAGACTTGTTCAAATTGTATTGCTCACAGAAGCAATGCAGCAACATAGCAACTATCACCAAATTATTGTCCACTGGAACGTCGGAACAGTTTAATGGATAATTGCCGCGTGGGGGACCAACATGTGGAAGAGGAATTTGTTAAAATGGGATTTGATAAGGCTTATTGTCTGATCGACTCTCCGTTTTGTCCCATTCTTTCTCCTTTCAACCACGCTCCCCTTCTCTGTCACCTCGAGAGTAGATCCAAATCAGGAATTGAGTGAGTGCGCAAACCAAAAGTGAAATCGAGGGATTGTGCTTTAGTCTTGTGGATTTCTTTCCATTTTAAAAGCCAATTAAGGTTTTTTCGAGTTAATTAATAAGCGACACACGTGTGTGCAATGCAAGCTTTGACTGCACGTCCATGACGGGTAGCCATTCTCCTAGTTATCACCTTTCACAATAACTGATCACTTGCGACACAATGTTATAGTCTTCTCTTTTCTGCTGATGGCATCTTTTGCAATATATTTGGGTGGCAAATTCATTTCCCTACCCCATAACCAATTTATTTATCCAAAGCGCATGATGCGATTAAGAAATTCTGTCTCTCACACTTGTTCCAATCATAGATTTGCGCAAGTCGTGCAAGCCAATTCCAAAAGATAGAACGCTACACCTTGGTTAATTAAAAATTTAGTAGTTTAGTGTGACAGAATGCGGAAGAATCCACTCAGCACACAGAGATGGCTAAAAAGTCGAACAAGGAAGCAGAGTCGGACGTGGGCATCCGTGCCGTGTCCTCCGGACCGCTGCATCGTACCAAAGCTAAAAAGTCGACACAACGCCGCCTCCGTGGCGGAGACTGCCACAAAGGTAGAAGAAAGCGCGCAAACCTTTGACATTTTCATTTTTTATCCTATCGCTTTCCAGGAATGAATTATCGACCGCTCCATCGATAATCAATAGCACGATGCGTGATGAGGGGAGTATAAATAATGGCTCCCACTTCAAAACAATAACAAAAATAATGACTTTTACGCATGCATTTCTTTTATCATTTTTAGCTGCATTTTTATAATTCTTTAATTAAAAACGTATAGAGTTTCTCCTGCCTTTTAAACATTTTCTTCCAATTCCCCGAATTCTCGTGGTTTTTTTATCAAAAAAGGATTTTTGGCTCAAAATTCTCCAATCTTGCTACTGTCGAGGTAGCAGTGCTGCCTTCACCTCCTTTCCCACTCCCCCTTCGCCTCTTCCCTCCCCTCCTTTTCCATTCCTTGTCCACAGAACCGAATTCAAGTAGAATGAAAAGGTGAAAGCAGACGTGAGTGGCATGTTCCGTAAGGTGAAGTGTCGAAAGGCGCTTTTAGTATTTGGATAGGCGAAAATCCACTTTCCTCTTTTCCCTTACTAATTTGGCCGAAATCTCTGCTCACTTTACCTTATTCCAATAATTTGTGGATTAACTTCCCATTTTGAAATACATTAGGGACTCACTCGATCTTCCAAAAGTTGAGAGCCTTAACTTGCTTGATGTGGTGTCCTGATGATGCAAATGGGCACAATACAGAGAGAGCAAACATTATGGGTGCAATGGCATGGCTGTTGGCATTGCCCAAAGACTCTACTGTCCAGTGGAAGCACGATCTGGGGCACTTCATGCCCTCACATAATCAAGACATTGGTATGGAATCAAAACTCAGCAATAGTACCGTCAGTTTTAGTAGTTGGTCAATTTCTAGTCGTCGGTAGCCTCAACCCAGTCGGTTCCATACGAATCGCATCCACTACCCAACCCTTTTAGTCACCGAATCGGCATTTGGCTGGGAATGTCTTTGGCCAAAGCATTACCCATTCACCTTTTCAACTTCGCAGAAGTTAGGAGGTGAAGGAGTCTTGGAATGAGAACTTGTTTATCGTTATTCACGTGAATACTGGTGCACCTTTTAAAATGGGTTTATGCGGGTAAGGCTGTGGATGTGCGCCCTCGTGCATTTTTTTGCTATTAGTCAGACATAATTGGATGAGTTGGCTTTGCGTTTTCCTCTAACTGCCACCTCCATGAGGGCACCACAGGCAGCTGCTTGGTGAACACCTCCTAAATAAAATTATGGCTAAATTGTTCCAGTACCTTACAACAGTTCAGCAGAATGTGATGGTGAGGAGTTGCCGCAGAAGCGACATCATTTTTGACCCTTGTGCAAGCATTTGTCACAAAT